TTCAGGAGCTCAACGACTCCGAGGCTGACCAGCAAGGTGAGCTGAAAGGCCAAGCGCAGGACGATGCTCGGCAGAGTTGTTTCGCTGAAAGAACATCCATTACTATTACCTTTGACCTTAAAGGAACTCAATGTGGAAGCCAAACCAATCATGACTGGTATACGCAGGTGACATCAGTTGACTGCTGGCTTGTGACGGGTATGTAACGGTATGTACTGTAATCATTTGTAATCAATGGAGTCATCTAATCAATGTTACTTACTGACCCTTGAGCCACTGTGAGCTCGTTTTGAGACGGTTTTAGGCGCTGGACGATGGAGACCTGAACACGGCTGTGGCCAAATTCACGGAGGCCATGATGCTGGGCGGAGTGCCTCGGAGAAGAAGATTTGCCACAGAGCGCTGGCCCAAGAATAGCCGAAAGAGTCGCAAACTGAGCCAACCTGGCAAAGATTAGGGGGCAGATGGGGGCAGATTCAGGCTTCACAACGAGGTGAGTTCTTGTGTTTTTGCAGCAGTTCCATTGGCCCTTTTAAAACCATTTTTCGACCATGAGGTCTCGGCCATGATGTTAGCGAAGCGAGCGGAAATGCTCCTGAGCCTTGGTCCGGTCGTTCCGGACGCCCGTTCCGCCCGGACAGTCGCGTCAACGAGCGTCAAAGGGATCTGAAGTGCCACGACTGACGATCAGTGACTTTTTTGATGTTTTTGAAGGCCGAGATGGGTGATAGATATTGGGCATGCGTTGCGAAGTGTGTGCTGCAATAGTTTTAACCAGCAGCCCAGGAAACAGAAGCGGTATCGAGCTGTGGTGGCAGATGCCACGGCAGCTCTAGAGCTGAACCCAGACAGTGCGAAGGTCCGACTCTGAACGAATTCTACTACACGGTCTGACTTGTGTTGGCTTCTAATTTGCTGGATCTTTCCAAGACCGAAACGCGCCAGGCCTTTCGTGCACGTGGCAAGGCGAGGCGGTTCTTAGGAGAATACGCCCTCAGCGCGCAGGACTTCGCTCAGGCACACGTGGGTCAAAACTGAATCTGAGCCCAAAGGTTGTTGATTTTTTTTTTATTTGTCGCTGAGCAGCATTAATCACTCACGAAGTTCACCAAGTTCCTTTGAATAAGGCTCAGACCATCGACTACGACGATGGTGGCTCGGCAGCGGACAGTGATTTCAAGTATCACAGTATCACTATAGACACATGATCCCCCACCTGCTTATGGTTGTTGGTGGTGATGAGTGTCGATACATTATTCTAGCCGTTGCAGCGCGGTCGCGTATACACTAGTAAGCTTCCTTATGCTTCCTTCATTCTTTTGGCAGAGGGACAGGGTCCACTTCAGTTGCACTTGGGTGTGTTGCACCCCCGGCATGATTTCAAGCCAATTGCTTTGCCGTGTCCAAAGGTCATCATCCTCCTACTACAGCCACATGTGCACTGTGACATGAGCACCTAGAATACCACACAACTCTCTTTCTCTCTCTCTCTCTCTCTCTGTCTATATGCACACATACATAATCACACACATATATATATATATATATATGTATTTGAACCCCCTCCGCAACCTGAAGCGAAACGCCGGACAGTCATGCGATGGCGCTGCAGGCGTGGTGGATTTACATAAGTATGTGCAGACACGCACCGAGAAGCTACGGCTCAAAGCTGCTCAGGCAGCAGACACGTCAGTCTCAAGTCAAAGGCAAACTGATTGTTTCTTTGAAGGCTTCGAATGAGAGAGAGAGAGAGGGAGAGGGAGGGAGAGGGGCAGAGAGAACTTCTTGCTAAACAGGGAGATCCATCCGACCAGCAAGTTATACAGTTATATAAACAGCGTTCAATGTGAGCAATTGTCAGGATGCAAAGAAAGCGGAGGCTGAATCCGAGGGCAAAGCTGGAGCATAGGTGCGCTCCCCCCCTGGGATGTCTTTTCTGGGTTGATGAATGGGCCACGCAGAAGCACCATCACCCGAACTGCAACGAAGGTGCGTGGACTTGGGTGGTTGCATTTTGCCGCAAAGGGACGTGACCACTGCGATTCCGCGACCCGTTTCACGCCGGGCTGAAAGTGCCCCGCAAAGACCCGATGATGAGTCGGTAGCAGAAGGCGACGATGCCTTCAAAATAAGCGTTTGCAAGGTTTGAGTGATCACTGTCAATCGTAGTGTTTCGATTTGTCCAAACTGTTAGGGAGCTCCAATGCAGAATGCACGAGACAAAGTGTTCGACTTCCTCGACACGTTTCATCAAGGATGAAGCCTGAAACAAGTTCTGTGTTTTGTTAGACAAGAAGCTCATAGGAACAAAGGGCATCGCTACTAGGAGCAAGGACGCTACTAGGGGCTCCTGGCCTTACTACTAGGAACAAGAAGCTACTAGGAACAAAGAAGCTTTGGGACCTTCGGCCCTGACATGAAGGTTTTACATCGCAGACATGAAGGGCCCTGAATGGCCTGGTTGAACTCCACATTGCGGATGTTGGGCCATGGATGTCGCCCCAAAGCCCTGCCGTCCTCCAGTGATGTTGCGCTCCCAGTGCAGTGTAGGTCCAGTGCTAAGCAGGTCACTAAAGCTCTTGAGCGGCCAAGGCGGGTGGCTGGCACCCCTGCACTTCATGCACTTCACGTGACACCCTTCAAGCGAGGCCTGGAATGACCCCTGCTTAGGACACAAACGGAACTGCTGATCTTTACATGGGATTGCAAGAATGCAAGGAGCAGGCAGGCAGCGAAGTATAATGGATACTATAACTGTAGGACGGTGCCGGAATGTGGGAAGCACCCACTTGGAATTCATTTGGAAAAAGCGAGCTGACACAGCATCACAGGGACCAAGGTGCTGGGGAAACTGAGCCTCGGAAAGGCTCGTGGAGACTCTGAAATTCCAAAAAAGAACATCCACATGTTCGATAGAGTTGACCTGCTCAGGAGTCCTGGGCGCACTGCCTGCTCTTGTGCGCTTTGCCCGTTCTTGGACCCAGCGACGTGCGACGGTGGATGTTGCCACCTGTCTACACTCTTCCAAGCTTTTGCATAACTGCAGATAGGCAAGATGAGATACCAAGCGAAAAGATGGAAAAGCAGCAATAGAAAGAGAGAGAGAGAGAGAGCAAGGCAGCACGGCAAAACCATCATGCCAAGAATTGGACTGCTAGAATTGTTGAGTCAAGTGGCTAAAGGGGATGCCAAGGTACGGGATCAACCCTTGATCTGGGTGGTGGATGGCCTGTGTGAGCAACAGCATGTCCAGCAATTGAAAGAGATTTTGGATCAGCAGGATGTCAGCTTCGTGAGGAAGACAGCTGCTTGACACGAGCAGCTTTCCTTTTTTGATGTTCCCTCGCCGGCATGTTTTGGTCACAAGACCCAGCTTGTTAAAGCCCTCAGGATGCATACGTTGACGACATGTTCGACGAGCGCAGAGAGTTGCAAGAGGATGGGGCAAACTGATCCGACGTGCTGTCAGCTGTCAACTTCCAAAGTCTCATCCGGTCGGCAAAGATGGACATCAACCTGACTCTGACCTGACAGGTTTCTTCGATTGTTCAACCTGGCAGGTCCCCTCAACTGCTCGGTCACTGAAGGTAGGTATCCCAGGTATGCCTTCAGGAGATGATCGTTTGGGTATGTTTGGGTCATGATTTGGCTGAAACTGTTCTTGTACATTGTACTCTGCGGATCTCTGTCGGAGCACGTTGATGTAAAACTGCAGTGACCAGGATGCTCAGATGCTCGTGTCGATGATGAGCAGCGGTGCTTTGCAAATGGCGCCCAGCAAGTGCCTTTCCCTCTGATTTCAGTGAGCCATGTTGTCCATGACACCTTCTCTCGGAGATGTGGGCTCACCATGGTTTACTTAGTAGTTTACTTGGTTTGCCTATCAGCAGGTTATAATTTACGCTTGCCGGGTGTGGAATCACACTCAGGAAATCTTGGAGTGTCTGCGGTTGTGACATCAAGTTACTGTAGCATTGTTCTTTTCTTTGGATGTGATCAAAGTACTCATGTCAACTTGAAATTTGTCCAATGAATCCGACATTTGAGCAATGTTTGCTCCCTTGAGCAGTGCAGTGTAGGACTCAAACGAGCTCCCCAGGTACCAGAGTGATCCCTTGCGCTCCTTGCTGTGGTTGGCCATGCAGCGGCCAGAGTTGCTTCAGACAAGTGCTTGGGACATAGGGCAACTGTCCACCACCCGACGTGCCTGGTGCGCACAGTGGAATCCTGTGCTTCGGCTGAATGACATATTGGGAACAGGAGACTGGCAGGAGTATTTCTTTGCTAGGACTGCCAAGGTCTATCATACTATCGTGATGCTTTCTGGTTTCAACTTCAACAGCTGCTGCCTGCGAGCTCTGCAAAATTGAGGAGGATTTGGCTCGCAGTGGCTTTCGGAAGAGTGCCTTCCGATGCAAAGTGCCAGAGGAAATGCTGAGTCATTTAGCGCCCTTGGTAGTGGATGTCCTTGGTCCACTCGGCTGGTTTAGTTGTGGCATGTTGCGGCTGCTTGCTTCTGCCATTGGCATTTGACGATGGCAGCTTTTCCGCCAGGTGCTCCAGTTCAGGGCTTGCCAGGGACAGACTCAGCGCGGGGCGCAGTGGCACCTTCGTGGGCTCTTCGTGATACCACGGTCACTCGGACCGACCTCACAATTTCCGTGGCTCATTCGGTGCCTTCTTCCACGTGTGGTGATATTGCGCCGGTTGGTCAAAGAGAAAACAGCCAATTTCCCAAGTTTTAGAGGAACCAGAGCTTCGAAGTTTCCCTCATTCTCTGAGCTCAGTAGGGCCTTCAGAGGCCTTGGGGCTTGGAGACGAGGCGAAATGCCATTTCACACAGCGGGAAAGTGATTGAAACGAGAGCACTGCTGAGAGTATCAAACAAGAGCACTGAGGTTGTGAGGTATCAGCAAGATGAGTCGCAGGTGCCGCATATTGACACAAGTGCCCCAGGCATGCTTTGCAAGTGAAGGGATCCAATGCCTCTCGCAGCTCAGAATCCGGACACGCTGTGATTGCGGTTTCCTTAGAGACGCCATGTTGACGCTTGGCCAGGTGATGTCACTATGCTTCTCTATTTGAGCGATGATGGAGGCCATACTTGCTTCCCAAATCTGGGATGCAGCAACTTGGAGTGGCAGGTATGCCATGCATCCCAAATGGATCCACATATCAAACATATCTGATTATATAAATTTTAAACTTAAATATTATCCTATGAATATTATCCTATGAGTTTTGAAACCGATCCAGCATGATATGTGGCAGCACCTATGAGTTGGCAATAGTCAGATCCAATCTTCAGATCTCTCAGCTTAACTCAGTGGCCTCGTCAAGCTTGCGAAACTTTGGCGGCCTGAAAGAAAGTAATGATAATGTCGAACTGTCAGTTTGTAGCTCCTTGAGCTCTGTTGTGCACCTAAGATGTTCCCTTATCATTGCGTGTGCCATGTAGAGCCATGTCAGGTCTACATGGAGCGCACAAATGCAAGAAACGCAACGCCATGCTTTTTTGGGTCGACGCTGCTCTATTGTGGCAGCCTAATGAACTGATGCCAAGCAGTGCTGCTGCTACGCTGTGTAGGTATTCCTCCCCGTGAGGGTCGCATCCTGGTTTTTTGCAGCACCAGTCCCTCAAACAGGCGCTTTCTCTGCAAAGAAGTGCAGCATGCATTTTTAGAGGAATTTTTGGGAGTGTCTATATAACAAGAATTCTGGAACAAGCCTCGGCATGTTCATATTCACATTAGCTCATGCTTTGCATTCCAGGCGCTTTGGTGGATTCGCTGGCTCTGCGTATGGGGAGCCACTAGATGCCACCATGCAGTGGACTTACTTTTACCGCGGTTTTCCATTGACAATTCCAGAGCAGGGTTCGAAGTACTGACGCAACGAAAAACCGCCCGCGATGCTCAGAAAGAGGGTTGAATTCGAGCATATCTTTTATGTGAATGCAGCGGTGAGTGTTTCCGCATCTCTCTTGCTGTATCCTCTGATGCTTGATAGACGGGAGCCAGACAGATTCCAGAGCTCTAGGCACTATGGCGGCCTCATGGAGAAATGCAATGGAGAGCTCCTCGGATCCATTTATGGTCACGTGAAGCAATGAAACGATTTGGTGGGACGAATCCACCGGAGAGGAAATTGATTGTCCAGCTGCTCTTCGCGGCTGAAGATTCCAGCTTGCCGCTTGATGGTAGCTGGTCTCCTGCTTTGCGTGGCGCCAAAGTGCGCGAGGCTGGCAGGACGCAGAATATGGAGGCACAGCTTGAACACTCTTTGCAGGGGAAGGACAAGCAAACAGGCAAACATGTACTGCCCTCTGTGCCTTTTGGTAAATGGGGCCGGCGACACACTATAAACAAGTGTTCCTGCCGCGACCAGGCAAGGTCAATGACCATTCCTTCAGTAGCGCGGCGGCGTCAAAGCTTAGTGTTCAGCAACCGGCGCTGTGCCAGTGGCTGCAAGGCATCAGATCATTCCTCAGCATTGCTCGATCCGTAGCCACTGCCTGGACATGTCTGGACAGGGGCTGGCCCTGGATTTGGAAGTGCCGGGAGCAACGAAAGTATGCGTCCACTGCTGGCAGCATCCTGGCTGAAAGACAGTTGAATTTTGAAACTATCCGCTTGCATGAATATGCAAGAAGACGCATATATACGAGTATTGACTCTGGACATTTAACAAATCTGACTTGGTTCCACTCAGGCGACGCTTGCAAGAAGCCCGAAAAGGGCTCGATGGAGTGGCAAAATGGAGAAAATAAGATGGGGATTGCATGCCGGACATAATTGGAGCAAAGGCCATACATTGCCCACACACTCATGGTCTGCTCTCCCCCTGCGCAGGTGAGTACCGGCCGGCGTGGTGAACTGCCGGAGTGCCTTTGCACGGCTGGCTTTGTGACACTCGCAGATGGCAAACACTCGGCCTTGTACCCAAGATGAGACAGAAACGCATGTAGATGGACTCGGCTCTTTGGAGGGAGCTTTGGCAAATGCATGTAAAAGCATCAAGTTTTGCCGGAGTCCCGTCACATCACATTTTCTAAAGCGAGTCATCACCGCTTGTGGGTGGTGCATGTAATTACCCTTGTCTTCATCTCTATCTCCAACCACTTGCAAGTCCGCGAGCAGTTGTTGGCAAGACATGCTTTTTAAGGTGTGCCAGAAGCTGGATGCTTAGCCTTTGCAAGCCTGCAAGCCGTATTTTTACTCCATGTCCTTTGTCAAGAGCTTGCAGACGAGGGAGGGAGCCACAAGAGTTTTTCATGACACAATTGACTATGCAACCCGTTTTCGCCGTGCCTGCCCTGGCTCAAGATGCCTGGGGCCTAGGGCCCAGGATGGCAAAATGAAGTAGTTGCCATTATAGCATTTCTATTTGTTAAGTTTCCAGAACATCTTGGAACCGAATGGTTTGTGCAAGTGCTTCTTCAAGGAAGCTCCCCTCAGGCGGGGAGAGCTTCCTTGAAGAAGCGTGAGCTATCCTGCGTCCAGTCAGTTTACTAGTAATGTGTTTACTCCTTAATTAAGTGGGTGGGTAGGCGCCTGCTTAATTAAGTAAGGAGGTCAAAAACAAGAGGAATAAAAGAAACACAGGGATCGCTGTCACCTGGTTTTACCACAACTTTTCTGCACCACCCAGATCAACGTCATTGGTCCCATAACTTGGAACACTCGTGGCACCATATGGAGCACCCAGCCCATGAACCTGTCTACTTGAAAGACAATGCAGCGTGTGTTGATTTAAACGGAGATTCAGGGAGTCCTGCTTAGCTCCGGGCCTGGTGCTGCCAGGAGCCGTGCTCCATTAGATGGATTCAAGAATGGAATCCCCAGCGTCCATGGCAGATACAGCGGGCCATGCAGGTGCGACAACGCTGCGTGAACTCCTTTGACCAATCCACCAATCGAATGACGGATGATTTGACTAGCTTCATTATCTTCTGGCCCTATGGGCTCAACGGCTTGTGAGGGTCGAAGAAACCACTGGTGGCCCTGGCGGACCCATCCTGGAAGTCTGCGGCCCTCGGCTTTTTTGGCCAGGCTGAACTTCTTCTTCCAGCTCCAGTGGTGGCTGAAGTGATGCCGCTGGGAGCATTCGAAGCGATGGAACTGAGGGAAGATATGGGAAGACCGTAGGCCATCACGCGGTCGGTCTTGTATTTTGTATTCACTTTTTGCCATTATCTAGTTGAGCGATGAAGGGAATTCAAGGATCCACTTCTGCATTCCATGTGCATCACCAAGAAATGAGCAAGAGTCGGCAGCAGTATACGGCACTTCCAGTGGGAGCAGGCTTACTAGTCCTGATAGATCATCAGACAGACATGCAGGTACAACATGCACCAACATGATTCAGACATATTCAAAAAGCAGCACATACAAATCAAACTGCAATTGCTCAAGCTAACATATTTGTATACACAAACGGGGCCACATATATATACATATATATGGGAGGCATAGGTATCAAAAAAAAATAAAAAGAGCATCAAAAAAAAATAAAAACAGGATCAAAAAAAAAATAAAAAGCGAATCAAAAAATAAATATTCCTTGATAGGCCTCTTTTGCTGCTCTCCTGGCCTTGTGGTCTGCGGGTCCTCTGGTAATGTGGTCCCTTGGTCCTTTGGTCCCTTGGTCCACTGGTCCTTTGGTCCCCTGGTCCCTTGGTCCTTTAGTCCACTGGTCCCCTAGTCCTCCGGTCTCCTGGTCCTCTGGTCCTGTGGTCCGCTGGTCCCCTGGTATCCTAGTCCTTCTGTCTCCTGGTCCGCTGGTCTTTTGCTCTCCTACGGCGCTCGTCTGTCGATCTCCTGGTCCCCTGCTTGCGCAAATAGAGGCTTGATTGCTTTCTACTAGAGGCAGCTCCCTGGGAAGAAAGTAGGTACCCAACGATAAGGTCGCCGTCCAGTCATTGAGTAGCCCTACTCGAAAAATGGTTCACCAGTGGAAATAGCTCCCTACTAGGAGGGAGCTCCTGAGGTACACTCTCCTAGGGAGGGGTATTGATTTTTGGATTTTTTTGTTTCTTTTTTTGATTTTTTTTGTTTTTCGTGGCTTCTGGCTTCTGGCTTCTGTGGCTTCTGGCTTTTGTGGCTTTTGGCTTCTGTGGCTTCTGGCTTTTGTGGCTTTTGGCTTTCGTGGCTTTCGTGGCTTCTGTGGCTTTTGGCTTTTGTGGCTTTTGGCTTTTTGGCCTATCCATCTATCTGTCTATACCTATCTATTTATCTATCTATCTATCTTTCTTTCTTTTGGCAGCTGTTCTCCTTTCTCTTTTTGTATTTGCATTTTCCTGTTGTTTTCGTTGCAGAGACGAAACCAAACAAGGAAGCAAGCAAGCAAGCAAGCACGAGCTGCTCACCTTTGGATCTGGTGTGCTGCTGGGGGGGGGCGCTGCCCCCCCCCCCCCCAACCCCCCCCGCGCCACGAAATCTGCACTTCATCCCCGACACCCGCGCCTGCCACGAAATCAACATTTTAAGGTGAACTCCCCGGTGCAAAACTTTCTAACCAAGCAAATATCTATCTATCTATCTATCTACCGATCTATCTATCTATCTATCTTCTTATCTTATCTTATCTTATCTAATCTAATCTAATCTTATCTAATCTAATCTAATCTATCTATCAATTTATCTTTCTATTTTTCTATCTTTCTGCAGTTCAACAGCCACAAAGTACTGCACCTGCCACGAAATCTGCACTTCAAGGTCCACA